TTTACCGAAGGAATCTGTTTTGACTTTTTACAGTAACTAATCCTCTTCTCCTGAGGGAATTGGTTTGGCTCTTTGATTTTACTAGGAATTGCTGTATCTGTTTTAATATAAAAATGATACTTTAAACTAAGAACTTTACAGAAAATGTTTCAGCAGCGTCGCCCATTATCTGGATGAGCTGGCATCGGAATCAAGTCAAAACACTGAGTGCTTCTATAAATACAGCAAACGGGATCACCATCAAAGCTTTGCAGAATGGCTTCACAAGAAAAACGCTTCACATTATACGCCAATTGCGCCATCCTACCATCAAGCACTACTCAATTTACAGGTCAAAGAAATCTACAGAAAACGCAGTCGATTTTTTTCGGGATGAAGTGCTGGAGGAAGAAAAAGCATTTTGTATCCGAGGCACTAATAAAAATACTGTGAAAGAGCAAAAAACGATTTTTACAATTTCTGTTTAAAAAAGTGGCATTCGGCCACAATCCGTCCTAAAGGACAATTCTTTTTTCTGAGGAGTTCCATGATAGGCCCTCATTAGCAATACCCGAACTCTTGTTTTTTTTTAATTTACATAAACTGGATCCCAGTCGGTATAGTACCTCGACGTGGTTTGGAAGTGGCTCGATACGAGCTACAATATAATCAATGACACCTTGAAATGACTGAAGCATTGAGAAGTACCTTTGTCGGAAGATAACTGGCTGAAAATCCCTACAAAATCATGAATGTTAGGATCGTTAGCGAACTCTTCACCAGTTAAATCAGCACTTGTCAAAGCAACTGGGGAAGCTTCAAATAACGCAGTTGAAAACGACGCTGTGAACTACAGTTGACCAAAATTTCAAATTGAGTATAAGAACTAGGTGACATGCAAGTTGAAGCATATGGGGTAAAATCATACGTACCTGGAGTTTGGGGAGACCCGTACCATTAGAGATCCAGTCCGACTCTCCATTGTTTTATTTTTTAATAGAGACTGGATAAAATTGGATATAACACTAATAAAGCAACAAGGATCACTCCCTGATGAAGAAAAGTTTTCTTTAGGATGTTGAGGAAGGGCAACGGGTAGGAATGGGGAGAAAAGTGATAATAAAAGTGTAATGAAATAAAGTTATGGAACTTGATGATCTTGGCAACTGTGCTTCTAATAATGTTGAAAACTTTGTAGCCCACAGCATCCACTCTAACACGTACAAAATTTAACATATTCCAAACTACCAGTTGTGAGAATCGGAGTTTGGTTCAGCAGTTAATTCGCGTACCACATATTCACCTACTGGAGCACCAACTGGAGGAATACGGTTCAGGATCATTTGTATGACATAGATCTTTGGTCTATGTCGCGGCATATGAAAGTGTTTTGGTACCACACTAATACTGGATCGCCGCGCAGAATATCCGGACACTGTTGATGTTCTATCGGTTTCTTTCTTTAGCTGAATGCTTTGCAAGATGGAGAACAAGTGACCCGTGGTGTTCCGGACTGCGATGCACCAAAACTTTCCTCAGTTAAGCCTGAAACACCGTTGCGTGAGCGAGCATTGTGCTACTTTGAATACTACCTCAACTATAACCCACTGGTAAGTTTGTTTTGTGTTACCGAAATATGCTCCGACACTGTTAGCAAACAAACCAGCGTCATTAGCTTTTTTGTAAAAGGGGGAGTTGAAGAGAAGGATGATTTTGTAAAAAACACATTTTTAATTATTTTTTTAAGGAAAAATTTAAAATAAAACTAATTTCTCGATTAATATTTGCTTAGGCATCTGGATCAACCGCAACTTTTAACCTGTGCAGTTTAACCAATGTCGCGTTGTTTGGTGATTAGTCTGCTAGCGATTCTGATGTATATTTCTTCTGAAGGAATTCCAAACTGAAAAGATTCTCCCGACAGAAGCATTTAGCAAAGTTTTAACCCGTTCTGTGCATCAGCTGGTGTTTTCCGAATATTACAACTTCTAGACAACGATTGGGTATTGTATTGACTGTAAAAATAATCAGTAACAACACCATTTAAGGAAAAAGAAGCTAGCACCCGAAAATTTTTCTGAAAGCTCACAAAAATGGTGAGTAGAAAACATTAGGAGCAAATGTCTCTCGTTGCCCTTTTTGCATCATATTAGTACTATTTGCTAATCAGTAGATGGAATGATAAAGGGGTGTACAGAAACAGACAGTGCCCTAGTAAATTAATCCGTATGACATGCAAACTAAGAAAGTAGAAAGACCAAAGAATTGGTATGTGGTATTCGAAGCGTGTGATAAATGATTCTTTGTTCAAAACAATTTTTTTGTTATAATTTTTCCATTTTACTGAAAATGATTTTTTTATAATAATTTTTCCATTGCTTGAATTTTAAAATTTGAATATCATAGCATCGCTTAAAATGTCTGGAATGTTGAAAGTCAAAACTTCCGTATTCATTCAAAGCGCAAGGCAAAGAAATTTTTAAAAAAATTAAAAAATTCGGCAAAAAACTTAAAGATTTAATGTTTTGTAAAATGTAAGCCTGTAAAGACCAAAAGGGACTAGATTTTAAGCCAAAAAACAAAAAACCCTTCTGCGTTCACTTTTTGCGTGATTGCCCTTTCTTGATAGCACTTTCTCCCTGAATAAAAGTAGCAGGCCCTTTAAATTTCATGAGCTGAATCCTCCAATTCGGACTGGAAACAAGCCGTATAGGGGTTAACCAAAGCTGGACTCCTCAGATCTGCCA